GTCTTGAAATACAGTAATGTTAAAAAATAAGCATCATGTTCCCATTCCAATGAAATTGTAAAAAAAAACATGATTACGCCATCTTTGGCGAAGTAAGTGAATGACTAAACCGGAAAACGTGTCGACCACCCTCCGTTCCACAACTGAGCCGCAAGAGTAAACTAGCCGCTCATTATGTCGGTGTTACGCTTTAGTGAGAACAATGGAGGCTGAGGCGCGCCGGCAACAGGCGCAGGTGGCTTTGACGACGATCAACATGTGAAAAGTGACCAGAAAGGCAGTTGTCGCGTCGGCGATGAGCACACCGAACTGCAGCGGACGTAGCTCCACGACCAGGCCGAGCGGTGTCAAGAAGAGGGGCCAACTTCTGCCCAGCCAGGCGAAGACGGCACCGATTACACAGCCGATAATTGCTATCGTGTCCGTCACCATGGAGAGCATTGCCCAGGCGTTGGTAAGCTGGTGGAGTAGTACGAGGCCGGAGCAACCGGCCAGTAGAAGACTGAGGCCCGACCAGAAGCCGACGTAGAAGGATTCGTGCACCTGGGACATCGTGATGGTGACGACCTCGAGGATGAAAACTATGCTGCCGACAAGAGCAAAGAGCAGAGAGAGGCATAGAGCGGTCTTGAAGAAGCTGATCTTAGGCCTCTGTGCTGGCGCCTCGTAGAGACCGTATTCGGTGTGTATGTTGGTAGTCAATGTGTCCTGCTCCTCACAGTTCGCCATTTTTGTCCGAAATGGCCGAGAATGGGCAGATTCGAGTGGGGAAAACCAAGAGTGGTGCCCAAAAGTAAACCGCTTTGTAGAGCCGACGGGCAGGATTGAACAGATCGAATGAGGTGGCCTAGGCGTTGGGAGGCTAGTCAGCAGAGGACACCAGCACGCAGTGCTTGTCACAGTGCCAGACCGACCCCGCTTGGTCGTGTCGTGTGCTCACAACAAACGCATGCATATGCATTTGTCGGCTTTCCTAAACTTGACAATGTCTGCTTGTATCCATACGCGATTGCACCAGCCTGCCTGTCTAGTCACGTCTTGCCCTTTCCATTATCCAGAGTTGGTGCCGGAGAAATTCTACGCCAGTCGCCATTGTTTTGTGAGGCAGGTATATGGGTCTTAGACACCAATCGATGAAGAAGTAAACGACAATGGCCGTGAGCAAAGAAACGCTAAACTGTGTTTATATGGTCGTCAATTCTATGGCAAATGTGTAGGTTTGTAAGTTATCGGTATGAGAACAGGAGTGACCTTAGATCGGTCAAGACGATGGAAGGGCTGATAGTTGTGCTTCCTCCACAATAAACTGAGAAGAAGACCTTGCCTTCCAAAAGACTTTTTTCTTCAGAATGGACCGTAGTTTTCGCATTGCCTGGGTTTTATCAGCCTTTACCCCCCCCCATTCCACCCCCATAGGGATCCGGAATGTGGACGAGTGGATTAAGGTGATCTTGTCACTCAAAACCCACACGAACCCAGCTTTAATGTGGTTATATTGTGGGCATGATTTAGACATAAAAATGCAAGTCCTGACTCTATTTCATTGTATACAGGCAATGCCTGTACCCATAATCGAGGAAGAGAGAAACATGACTCTCAACGGGTGGATAAAAGTGAGCAAATAAATCCCTTTGCCTTATTCACTACCGTTGTGCTTTTAGAGATGATATTTGGCCATTCTATGTGGGAGATGGTTGGCATACCAGAGAATTTGCTGCTTGACGAAAGTAATGTCAGAAGAACTTAGTGGAAAATGGAATATAGATGGCTCGTTTATTTAGTGCCGATAACTCATTCATAAAAGGATTGTGAATGGATTAGTTTATTTGAAAGACTTTTTTTATTTAACACCGATTAGTGTTCCAATAGGAAATTAGGTAAACGTCAGTAAGGAGGTTGTTTGTCCTTGGTTTCGCAACTCGGTCATATTAGTAGAAAGGGGGTTAGAGGAACGCATCTAGTCCGGAGTTCATTGTATGCACAATACTTTACAAAGTCTGACCCTAATTGTGGTACATTCCCAAACGTTTCGCCGGCATCATCAGTGAGTCTCGCCATTCTTAGCACTATACAACAACTCGTC